TGAGCACAATTACTCTAAGCATAATTACCATTTCTTTCTTCAGTTATTTAATCTTGTGTTACTGTCTTAATCTAATCTAGAAGTCAGTGTTTTGCAGATCAGTGAAAGTAAGCCTTAGTAGTTTGAAGAATTAGGGGGTCTTCTTTTCTAGACTTTCACATAAAGAATCTTGTTTAACAGTTGTTCCTTCAAGTGATCCCACTTTCCTCAGTGTGTGTCCTGGTTCCTGGTAGGACAGGGTTAATTTTTTCCAGTAGCTGGGAGGGAGCATGGCTAGGACCCAGAAGTTATTCTATACCACTTCACATCATTGCCCAGGGCAGGGGAAAAATGGACTCTCTTCCAGAGAGAAGGGGTTCCTTCCAGTCAAGAAAACGTGGAGGAGGGAGCCAGCTGCTATTGTCTATCTTTTTTTTTTATGTGAATTGTTTCTTTTCTTATACTCTCCATTAGTATTGTAGCTGTTACTGTTCCTTATCTCATTGCTGTTTCTAGTAAATTGTTCTTAACTCAACTTGTGATCTTTGCCTTTTGTGCCTCCAATTCTCCTCCCCATCCCACGACAGCAGGGACTGGGAGGGGAAAATAGGGGAGTGAGAGAGAGCTGCTCATGGTTTGGAAAGTCTCAGTGTGGGCACTGAACTGGGGAGTACTGTTCCTAAACCACAACAGTGTGTCACAGAACTAACCCCTTTTTTTATGCCTGAAACGACCTCTCTTGAAACTGCACCCACTACAAAACAGAAAACATAACTCTCATCTCTGTGTTCGAAGGACACTTTGCGAGAAATGCCTTTTTCTAGCATTTTTGTTTCTCCACTTTAACTTAAACATCTCAGACCACTTAGAAGATGACAGACTGAGATGGAGATGAGGAAGAGGTGAGGAAACTAAGAGGAACAGAATTTACAGAAAATAGCAGATTGCAAGGGTGAGCCATGTCCCAGGAGTTAACAAGGGGGAAAATGAGCATAGGATCAAAATAGGAAAGAAAAAATACTAGATGCAAAGGGATATTCATATCTATAGATGCAAAGGTATTTCATATCTAAACTGTCAACATAATTGGGCCAGTATGGAGTATTAAACTAATCAGTTGTCTTAGATTAAGAAAGCCTGGATTATAGAAACATGAGTTAGATCAATCTTACCTTTCTTTAGGCAGTTGTAGAAAAGGTGACATACCTCTGATCAGCAAAAAAAAAGTCAACAGTCAACAAAATAAATCAAATGTAGACTTTGATTCATCTGATCAGACATAGGCATCTGCTTTAGGATAAGATGAAGCTGTGCTGTGAATGAGATGAAGATGTGCTGTGAATTCCAGTCACTGCTATCTTTTTGTTGACTGTGAAAAAGTAGCATAGGATCATTTGATCAGGTGTTAATGCCTACAGTGTAACTATCCCATTTAGCCCTATCAGTCTCACCTTTTGAAATCCTTTAGCCAATCACTGACTGTATCTCAGCGACTAAATGGTTCATTTCCAAGCCCTACTCCCAAATACTAAAAGGCAGATAATCATCTTAATATGAACAAACATAAGTTACTGATAGTCACTTCATTATCAAGAGTTACGATCTTGTGGATAAACCTCTGCATATCAAATACAGCTGTGATCCCTGGGTTAGAGGAAATCCTAGAGATGTAGACCTGTTCCCATCTAATACAGACCTCTTGGATATTTTCAGTACCGTGAACTTTCAGGTAGGTACGTCTATCACCATAACTATTTCAAATTCAGCTATTCCACCACCTATGAAGATCCTTATAGACATTACAGTGGCACACAGTGAGGTCAAAATGGAGTTGACCTTTCAAATGAATTTGATTCCATGACCTGTACTTTGCCCATAAATTAGAACATTCTTTATTCTGCTAAACAGAACAACTGCCCTCCTGACTTTACCAGGAGTGCTACTAAGTCAATAGTCCACTTCAAACTGGAAGCTCTGTAGGCATATGGTAAAACTTCCTGCTTGGCTGACATTGTCTGGTACTTTCCAAAGCTGGATTATCTAATGCTGCTCAACCATGTCTGAAAACATTTGCTATCACTGTCAGAACTCAAACTGGCCTGGCTTTCCAGTCTTCTTAGACTGCTCCATTACTGCATTCCATACAACGTTTCTACTGGAAACACTTCCATGGAATGTTAGGAAAGCCATTTAGGAAGTTGGCAGTAAGGTTGGTTTCAACAAACAAAATATTGTTAGAAATTGACACATCCTGCCTCCAGCGAGGAACTTGTGAAGTACCTCTAGAAATAAGAAAGGGTGATTTAGACAATTCACCATGCAAACTTTGGACAATTTGATTCTTTTTCTAGAGAAAGCAAGGTAAGAGCAAGCTAACAGGAAACTTAGTACAGCAAAATCTAACTGCAAAATCTGGACATCAGTCACAAAGCCTGGCAACCTCTCAGATGCTTGAACCATAGCACTATCACATGGCATTTTTGAATAGTATGACTGATTCTCTGAAAAGTCTTATAAAGCAACAAGCAGAAAAGGTTAGAAGGCAAGGAAGAATTAATGGCAATGCAAGAAATGAATATGTGTAAAAAAAGAAATTCTTTCACTGAAGATGAATTGTGAAGTGTGGTCAGAACATTAAAAACTAATAATAACTTTGAGCTTTGGCTCTTTCCTTGAAATACTAAAACTGGAGCAATACTGATGAACTGTTTCTTTTTAGTCATCCAGAAAATCAAAACACCTAAGACCTGGTTTACTACAATGGTGAGACCCTTAGTACAGATTAAGATGTTGTAGTTTTATGCCTTGCAAGCAAAGTAACATCTGCAGCAATCGCTGCTGCCATCTCTTTGCTATAGCATGAGTACAGATTACTTTCAAAGACTGTCCTTCAAAGGGTGGCTACAACAGTGATGTTACGCTGTGTACAGCTCAAAAAGGATTCAGCCCTCTTAGAAATAGCAATTAAATGCTCACCTCCAAAAGGCAGTCACAGAGTTACTAGATCATATGTAGGCCCCTACTTCCATCAGTGACCCTGTTACTGTCACTGAACGACCCCCTTTTTTACCACTTAGATTAGGCCTAGCCCTTGAACACCTCAAGAAGTGGTTTAAATACCTTTTCATAGACTAGTTAGAAGATTGGGAAAATATGAAAAGTATGAAAGTTCTTAGATATTTTATCTGCACAAATGAGGTCCATCTGGAAGTCTAGTACCAGAATTTCAGTTACCCAGATGAAGGATGTTGACCTGGGAGACATCAACATATTTCTCATAAAGAATGGGCATATTAATCAAGCCTGAGAAGGGAATCTCTAGATCTTTCTACATAAATCATCCAAAGCCCACAAATGGATCAACATTTTCTGAATGGGTATCTGCTGGACAATAGTCTTAAACTTGTCCGTCAAAGTAGAACATTGAGGAATTTCTCAGTTTTCCAGAAACACTTCTGAAAGCCTTTGACACACACACACACACACACACACAAAAGGCAACTTGATCAAAATTTAGTTGACCCATTGGGTTGGCTGATTAAACGAATATGATGAACTCTGCTTTAACTTGTGCTGTTCTGTGGCAGAGTATGGCTCCCTGGATGCCTAAGTATGGCAGAACACACAGGTGCGGCATTCCTGTCCTGACACTGGGTTTGTCCCATCCTTCAGCCCTTTTGAGATAAGAAGCTCTGTCTTGAAGAGTTTGCTCCTGAAGAAGTAACTCTTCACATCTACCTTTGCACAGCAATGCCTCCAATTCACCAAGGTAAGGGTTTGCTCCGCAGCCCCTCACGTGCACAAATTCCTGTGAAGCACCCCCAGATGATACAAATTCCTGCGAAGCACTACCACCAGATGAAAGAGGTGACAAGAGCATGAGAACATTGAGGGGTGTAATGAGTGCTGGACCCATAAGAAAGTCAACAAACAGCTCATGGACTTTCTGTTGACTCATCGTACCAGGGAGGCCTCAGCAGGGCCTTCCCGTTTTGGCAAACGCGGTCAGTCGGGAGATGGAAGGCACGTATCTGCCGTTGGCAGCGACCCTCGAGGGCTGCTTAGTTTATTTTACGGCGAAGGCATCCAACCAAGGGAGTTCGGACGGGAAAGAAACGCGTGCATTCGCGATACGGCGTTGCTCGCACATATGGCACCGCAGTAGGGCGATGGGTTGGGAGACGGTGGAGCCCACGGACGAGTGGAGCCCGGAGGGTCGGGCAGGGACGAGCACTTGGGGGAGGGGGGGTGCTCGGGGAAGCGACGCACGTGCGTGGGGCCCCATGTCGTCCCAACACCACCCCCTCAAGCTCCCCCTTTCTCCAAACTCCGCGTCCGTCCCGCGGACACCCCCCACCCCCCAGCGCGGTTTCCCGGGCGCGGCCCCGGGCGGGAGCGCGCCCCCGCCGCCCCCCCGCGCGCCGCCGGGCTCAGCTGAGCAGACAATGGGAGATCAAAGCCGGCGCGGGGAGGAAGGACCGGAGGAGGAGGAGGAGGAGGATGGTGCCGGGCGGGGGGGGGCGGCTGGTGGAGCCGGCGGGGCGGAGAGTGGTGGTTGCGTGTGGCGCTGCCTCTCTGCGCTCGATTAGTGTTCCTGGGGAGGGAGCGAGCGAGCGTAGCCGGGGCCGGCCGGAGGGGTGCGGGGGGGGGGGGGGGAACGCGAGCGCGCGTGTGAGGGTGTGCGCGGGGGCGCGCGGGCCAGGGCGTGCGCGGGGGCGCGCGTTGTGTGTGTGCGCGGGGGCGCGCGTTGTGCGTGCGCGCCGGGCTGTGCGAGGGCGAGCGGGGAGAGCGAGCGAGTTGCGCAGCTGCCGTGCGCGCACCCCCCCCGCCGCCGCCGCCGCCGCCGCCGCCGCCGCCGCCGCCAGCAGCAGCAGCAGCAGCAGCGGCAGCAGCAGCAGCACCAGCAGTAGCACCTCACTGGCATTTAACGAGCGGAGCTGCTAGTTGCGCTGGAGAGAGACGCGCAGGGAGGAGGAGGAAGAAGAAGAAGAAGAGGAGGAGGAGGAAAAGGAGGAGGAGGAGGAGGGGGGAAAGAGGAGGAGGAGGGAGAGGGAGGAGGAGAAGAAGAAGAAAAAGAAGAAGAAGAAGACGAGGAGGCAGAAGGGGAGGAGGAGGCCAAACGGACACCAACTGAAACAAAAGTATTTCCAAACCAGCACCCAACTCCACCTTGTGAGGGCTCCCCCAGCATGGCTTCCGAGGAACTCTACGAGGTAAGAGCCCCCGATCCCCGCCGGCCCTGCCCCCGGCCCCGCCGGCCACCGCACCCCACCCCACCCCGCTCGGGAGCCTTTTTGTTGCTCCCCGGGAGCGCCGCCGGGCTTGTCACCCACTCTTGCGGCGGGTGCTGCCCCTTCGCGCTGGGCCCGGCGCCTGCGTGTGTGCCCAGCCTGGCCCCCCGCCCCCCCTGCCCTCCCCAGTTTTGCGGGAGGAGGACGGAAATGTGACTGAAAGGAGGAGACGGCAAAGTGTTACCGTGGCCTGCACTGCCCCCCCCGCCCTCCCCCCTCGCTCTCCCCACGTTCACACAACACTTTGAGTCCAGCAGGAGCAGAGGGGGTGCTGGATGGGGCGAGCGGCGCTGACAGCCCCGGCGGCGAGCACGCCGGAGGGCGAGCACGCCGGAGTGCGAGCCCGGCGCTGTGCAAAAATGTGTGCAAAGCCGAGTTATTGCCTCTGTCCGGCCCAGGGGGGGTTTGGGGCGGGGGGGGGAGGGCTGAGGGTCTCTCCTCTTGGGTTTGTGTCTGTACCAAGGTCCCGTGCCACCATCGTGTCCCTTGGCCGTGCAGCAAGCTGCGGCGATGCAAAATATTAAAATTTAAACTCGGCTCTTCGTGCTCCAACCATACGGTTGAGGTTGCAAGGGAAGCCCCAAAAAGATTGAAAGTTAAGGCTCTGACACGCCATCCCTCACTCGTCGCTCGGGAGGTGGTCAGGGGGTGTGCTGACGGGAGAGGAAGGTTTTGGGGTGAAGAACGGAGCGAGGTGACAGCCTAACTTTGAATTTCCTGTCTTATGTGTGGCAATTTCACATCCTTGCCCTTGATTGAAAAGCATCATGGTTCTCTTGGATTGAACTTCCTTGTTTTTATTTTTACAAGAAGTCATCCCTGGGAGTGAAAAGCTGTTGTTGTTTTGGAACCGTTCTTGCCTTTTAGGTAAAGAAGTGGCCACTCAAAACCAAAAATGGTCTTATCTTGTAGTTAATATGCATCGAGGCAGTGATCTATTAAAAAAAAATATATATCCAGAGGCTGGAATTCTAAGGTCAAAGAGAGAACAGACAGCCTTCAGGACACTTGACAGAAGATGTCTTACTGTACTGTTGGTGCACATGTATCTCTCGTTAATGGAGTTACATGCCAGTGAAAGGTGCCCCTGGTGGGCTTATGTTCGAAGCAAGTTGACTGCCAAGCAGAGGTGCTGAACTGATAGACTAGAAAGAAGACTGAAGGCCTGTATTCCCAAGACAGATAAATCATAGTTAATTGCTTTGGCAAGTTTCCCCATCCTCATAATGTGGCTTAAGCCGATCTTGAAGGGATCATCCCTGGAAGTAGGAGAGAAATTTAGAGACCACTCTGCATCCGAAGGGATTGCCAAAAACTTGCTTTGACTTTGGAAAAACTTCTGTTGGGTTTGTGGAGTTTGGCCCATAGACTCTGATGTGACCAGTACTTGCTCTTAGTGTGTTGCTGTGTTTGATCAAAGATGGACAATAGGATATTGGTTTCAACAGGCATAAAGAAATGACCAGAATGCTCTATTTGCTGGGCATTGGACTGAAGTTGAGTGAGCATTGTGCATGACTCTTCTTGATTGTCTTAAGTTGTTTTCAAAATGTTGACTTGTATGAAAGTCTCAGTCGTCTGTCGAGCATGGCCGTCCTCACTTGGCATGTGGTGTGTGATGGCTATTGGGCAAAATCCTCTTTTGCAAACCACCTGAAGAGATAAACTACTTCTTTAATTTTAAAAATGAGACACGTTCTTGAATCGTGTAAGTGCAAAGTTTGATTGAGATGCCGAAGTTGTTAATGCTTTTGGACTAGGATGTGGTCAAGGTGTCTTTTTTTTCTAGATTGCTCGTTTTTGACAAGTTTTGTCTTATGATGAATTTTCTAGCCATGTTTGAAAAATCATAAAATAATAAATAATTCAAATGTAGTGAGCACTAATTTGGGAAGGACATAGCTGCAGGTTAATAATGTGAAATGTTAACTATTTAGTAATTTAAACTGTTATGTGAACTGCCCAGGGTATTGACTGGGTCTTTATTTCTGTTTCATGACTATTTTCTTTATAGTTCATGCCATACAATAGTCTTTGAATCTGGTGTTTGAAATCCAGTGCCATTTGTTATGTTTTTCCTTCTGAATCTGGATCTGGTGTCTTGATCAAAAAAAATGTATAATCTATTTGCAATTATTAGTCTAAGTATGAATGCCAGCTCCTCCTGCTGATATGTGTCATGGTTCTTCCAAAATACAAATAAAACTTCCTCTTATAAAAAAAATGAAGGTAAGTTTTTTGGTTTTGGGGTGTTTTTTTAAGGATTCATTTGTTTGTGGGATTATTTTTACTCTGGATATCATCTCTGGAGAGAGGGAGCTGATCTCTATGTAGGCCAGTGATTTGGAATTCAAAGATCGAGCCCTTGAAATATATGAACAGGCTGGAAGGATGACTGTTGGTCTGACTGTATATCCTCTATGCTGTTTGTTCCTGGGCTGTATATCCTCCATGTCATGTGTTCCTGAGCACACAGGAGAGGTTGTGGTAATGACTACCTGCCTTTTTTTTTTTTTTTTTTTGAGAGGGTAGAAGATCTGAAGAAAATATGGAACTTTATTGAGAAAAATTATAAGAGACTCTTTTTTCTATATGGAAAATGAAACAATTGGTAATGTTTCCAGCCTATGAGGCCTATGAGGCGAATAGCATAGTTTTTCTGTTTGTAAGTTTGATTCTTCAAGTGACAATTTGTTTCTTAGTGAGGTGGACAGACATGGAGAAACTGGTGAACAAGATAGGTAAACATAAGAAAAGGTGCCATTGTATTTGGATTTCCACAAGTTTTTTCAATAGGGATTGACATCTTAGGGCATCTCTCTTCGTATCTGTGTTGCTGTGGTTTCTGGAAAGTCCTTTGTACATCCCTTTGGGTGAATAGGAGGGCTACTTTCTTTTTCACTGTGACAACTTTCGTTTAGTGTCTGTTTCCCACCAGTTGAAATTGTGTTGATTATTCTCCTTATCTTCTCTGGAGTAATTAGAAGTAGGGTATCCACCTCATTTAGAAGGTTATTTTGAAAGCAAACTATATTTGCTCTCACTGCAGTCAAATCCCTTGACCTCCTTTGGCAAAGTCTTGTAGTGATGTCTGGGATTGAAGTCATTCTGAGTTGTGGTTGGCATGACAAGTTTGTTTGATGAAATGTGGAAATGATTCCATACAAGTGCTCTCCAGGACAACTGTGTGTTGGCCAGAAGGTCAGACGTACCAAATGGCATCTGGTAGACAACTAGTAACTCTGTGCTGTGTTTCGAAGAGTCTCTTTCTCATAAAATTTATTAACTTTTTTTTGTATTAGATGTGGTGGAAATGTATCAAAGTTCTCTGTCTGTGGGCATTGTATCTAGTTAAAGTGCCAAGTGTTTCTATCTTTCCTCTGAGGATTACTGGTACAGGTGATGGTATAAATGGCCCATTGGTTTAATTTATGTAACCATAGTTTGGCTTGGGCCATGATTGCTAGTCATATCACAACATTTTTACTGGGTTTTACCAGAAGTAAGCAAAACAGTTTGTGTGAACTTTGCAAGTACACCTATGCATTGATGCCTGTTCCATGAAAATATTACAGGTTAACATAACTTGAAGTCCTGTAGTTCAAAATTACACATTTTTGTATGTTTTATGTAACGGAAAATGTCTTTTTTTTTTTTTTTTAATTCTTCAAGTGTCTTGCAAAATACATATGCATTTTTTTCATCCTGGTGTCTGGTATTCTCAAGGTGATTCTTCACTTCCAATGATGATTCAGTATTTTTGGTTTTATTTTTAGAACTAAGGCCTTTGACATTAAATTATACAGATACAGCGAAATTACAAACTGAAAGAAATTTAAGGAGCAACTGCCTGAAGTTCTATGGCCTTGCACTAAGCTATATGTCAGGTTTAATCACCTAATAAGTAAGACCCAAAGACACGTATTCCAAGAAAATTTAAATTTTGTGTATACGGTAGCGGCCACAAGTCAAAAAAAGTGGTCCTGTGGGCTGTTCTTCATCTACTAGGCTAGTTTTTTAAATAATAGAGTGTAGAAAATTGGAGGAGAAATGCTGTCATTTTGCTGAAAATTTGATACTGCATGGGAGTTACCCACTTAAACCCAGCTTTTCTCTCACAGCCCTAGTAACACTGCAGCAATCGAACCTTCATGTTTTGTGTGCGTTTACTGGGAAGTTTAAACATTTGTTTTGCTTAAGTTAACTGAAAGGGTAAATCCATTATCTATGGTACACAACTTGGAGTTTGTTGTAATTTCTTATAGCTATTTGATGAAAAATTGCTATTAACAGCAAATTAGAATTGGCTGTTTGGGCAATAGCTGGTTTTTTTCCTCATTGAAATGGTTTTTTTTTAATTCAACCTGTCTTGCAGGAAGTCCAAATTGTCTTGGGATCTGTCTTCTGCTGCTTGTCTCTGATGTGCTGATTCCCAAGATCTTGGTTAAAGATCTTGTTCATAAAGGAGGTCTTATAGTCATTGAGATGTAATGCCTGAGTTTTTGCAATTTTATTTTGACAAGTGGTGCAAATGTTACTGCTTGTTTCAGGCAAGGTAAAAGACTAAGACTTGCTTGACTGACCCTACCCAACTAAACAAGACTAGGAATTTACATTAGACCTGTTTGTATTGCTTTCACCCCTTAGGAACTATACATCTGACTTAAAATAGAATTGAGGATTAGCTGTTCTTCCCCCATTGGTGACTTTCACTTCTTTAAACCAGATCACGAATGCAAGAGCACTGCAGAAATGGAGCCATCGTATTTAGTGCAAGAAGCTTGACTTTTCCATGTCCCTTGCCAGGCTGCTTTTCGCCAGCTTGAGTTAACCCCAGAGCTCTGGACAAAATTGAGAAGGTCTGGTGCCCTGTCTTCTGCTGCTGCCACAGGGGGAATGCCTGAGCTCCCCCTGGGATTTCC